AAGTTAAAAACAAATTTATTTGGACGAGTACTCCACAGTGTTATGTGCATTGCTTTTCTTGGCAGAACAGATGAAGTTAAAAAAGCAGCATTCTTATTATTATTTTTTATTTTATCAGATCTTTACTTGGACTTATTTCTTTGGAGTAGTGTTGGGCTGTTCTGGAAAATAAGTTGGGTAATATAAGGAGAGCTAGAGAATTATTTGATGCTGCCACAGTTGCTGATAAGAGACATATTGCAGCCTGGCATGGATGGGCTGTCTTGGAGTTAAAACAGGGAAATATTAAAAAGGCAAGGAATCTCCTCGGCAAGGGTCTCAAACATTGTGGGGGAAATGAATACATTTACCAAACACTTGCTCTTCTTGATGTCAAAGCAAAACGGTATGAACAAGCTAGATATTTATTCAGGCAGGCAACAAAATGCAATCCCAAAAGCTGTGCCAGTTGGCTTGTAAGTCGTGTAACGTACTTTCTCCTTTTCTTATATTTTTTTGGTATTCTGCATGGGTGATTGTCGATGGAATATACTTCTTCGTTTTTGTATAGGCATGGGCTCAGCTCGAGGCACAGCAGGAAAATATTCAGTCTGCTAGGAGGCTTTTTGAGGTTTGTTCTTTTGAGACCTCGTCCTAGATTGTAATTATAGTTATTTCGCCATCAACTGTGTTCGAATTTATGGACCCTAATTATACTATTCATTTATCTCCTCGACTTCTTATCAACCTAGTTCAGTAGTTCGTATAGATGATTTTTATTTTTATTTTTTCTGGTAGGAGCATATTAGGTATTTATATGTTTGTATTAAATATCCCGAGTTTCTTAGTTATAAATAGGAATCTAAGAAGTCAGAGATGTGTGATGAAAAATTTGTAATCTCTCTCTTCATATAGTGAAAAATCTAGAGCACCGAGTGGTCATAGCATTAATCCATTTCAGTTTTTGTTTCTTTCATTATTGCCCTCGGGATTGGGATGAGGACTTAATTCCTAACAGGGGATGCCACAAATCAAACCTTCCTTTTCGTGTCAGCATTTACTGCTGCCATATCATTTTTGTTTTTTGTTCTATCATATATTTCCCTTTTGTCGTACAAGTAATAACTCTTTCCAATGACACAGAAAGCAGTGCAAGCGAGTCCGAAGAATAGATTTGCATGGCATGTATGGGGAGTCTTTGAAGCTAATCTAGGTAATGTCGATTTAGGAAAGAAACTTCTGAAGATAGGGCATGCAGTGAATCCAAGAGATCCCGTCCTCCTTCAATCGCTTGCACTATTGGAATACAAATACTCTACTGCAAATGTAGCACGAGTTTTGTTTCGGAGGGCATCTGAGCTGGATCCAAGGCACCAGCCTGTGTGGATTGTAAGATATTTCTTCTGCAGTACAAGGACTTGTGAATTCTGAAATTTTGATTAAAAAAGCTGTGAACTTCATCCCTTCTTTCTCTTACATTTTTCTTCTACTGAATTAGGTTCTAGTCTGAAGCTGGATTTGCTTGTTTTTCTTAAACATCATCATACTGCTAACTAAAATTTGGGCTGATTTTTAGGCCTGGGGGTGGATGGAATGGAAAGAAGGAAACTTAGCTACAGCTAGGGAATTATACCAAAAGGCATTATCCATTAATTCAACTAGTGAGAGCGCTGCACGCTGCCTTCAGGTATCCAAGTGTGATTTTTATACTATGTACGGCGGTGCCTAAGGGCATAACTGAAGTTGAATATTTTGTTTGATCAATCAAAATCCCGTCACAAACTATACAAATTTCTTCAATAAGCATATAGCTTTCTGGATGTATTACTTGATATAGTATTTTAATAGCTTGTATTTTTGTCATTTTGTGCATAGGCACCAAATTCGTGGAAAATGATCAATTGTTTATTTTCTTAGACATTTTATTTTAGCCATGAAGATCTTCTACTTTAATAATGTGGAATAAAATTCTCTCTACTGCAATAAAGTCAGAGAAATTAGTTTCTAGAATTAATTAATTTGTGAAAATCACTTTCTATTGAAGTTTCAAATTCATATGTATTTATGGTGCTCCTATGGCTATCTCTTTTAACCACAGGCTTGGGGTGTTTTAGAGCAGAGGGTCGGCAATTTATCTGCAGCACGAAGATTATTTAGGTCTTCGCTTAACATAAATTCTCAAAGCTATGTAACATGGATGACGTGGGCATCTTTCGAAGACGATCAGGGGAATTCTGTGCGCGCTGAGGAAATTCGGAACCTCTATTTCCAGCAGGTAATTCAGCAGGAATAATTGCATTAATACTCTCATGCCAAACACGTTTGGCAGTTACTTAGAAGTAATTCTTAAGCATATCCAAACAAGCTCTTTCCCAATTCCAAGCATGCATGCATGCATTTACCACGATGACAATACGATTCTAAGCCCATGAAATGTGTTGTTAAAATTAATTGTTGGCTTCAACTTTGACTTTGAGATTTTAATCCAAACCAAACAAGGGCTAAGATGTGTGTGTTTGTTGTTTTGAAATGCAGCGTACTGAAGTTGTTGACGATGCATCATGGATCATGGGATTCTTAGACATAATTGATCCAGCAATTGATAGCATAAAGAAACTTTTGAATATCGACCAAAACCCGTACTACAAGGTCAAGGATTCTTCGTTAAAGATATCAGAATCCAACGTTGAAGGTGAATTCGGCAGTTTGTCCTCTGATTCCAACGGAAGTGGTTTCAATTTAGACGAGTTCATCATCACAAAACTATTTTTAGACCCTTCAAAACTGGATGTTCAATTGGGGCCATCTCGGAAGGTTGGTGCAAAGAGTGACTCGAGATCACAGAATAGAAATGTCCCGATACTACCAAGCCTCTAACTTTTGTATTTATACATTTGCTTGCATAGAAATGATTCAAACCACCAATGTCCCTTTAATCTTATAAATCTTGTAGCTATTCTGTAAATCTGATGTAAGAATCTTTATGATTACAACAGCACTATCATCACTGGCAAAACATTACAAGCTTGTTAAAATTTAGTACTCTCCAAACATTAAACATTTTTACTTATTAGTTTATATTGAATACCAAACATGTCCTCCAAATTGATGTAGATTACAATGGATTTTACAGTGTAATCATCAGCATTGCCATGAAATCCTCCAAATTGACATTTTTTTCCCCAAATTATAGCAAAACTTCGTGTCATTCTCTGAAGGATTTTCATTTCATCATTGATTTAAAAAAATTCTGAAATTTTTGCAGCAAAGTTGTCCTCTTCGGAGGACTCGTTCTCGTAACATCTGTGATTGGCTTGATGTACATTCCAATGGATCTTAGAACATTGTCAGCAGCGCCATGAAATCCACCAAATTGACTTTTTGCTTCTCGTGAACCGAGATGAATCATGAACTCTTTATCAGTACGCAAAGGTTCGCCGAAAGGTCCATATGTTCCCGAGTTGGTGACGAACGTGATTGATGTTATGAAAGTCCGGCCATAGCAACCTTTAACATAAACAATGTGCTCGAATGGAGGTTCGAGCTTCACCTAATGGCATTTTGACAATATCATTCAAAAAGAATAATACAATGAAATTTATCCTGTTTGACAACCATTAAAATGAGTTTTTTTGTTTAGAAATAATGAGTTTTGGAATAGTAATTTTTGGTGGGGAATGAGTTGTCAAAATGTAGGAAAAAGTTTTGAATTTACGCGTATAATTTTTTATTGGAAGAACGTGTCGTTGAAAATAAATTTTTGAGAAAAAAAGAGTTTTATTTTAGTGGTTGTCAAACATGGACTTTTTGCTTCACTAAATTTACATTTAGTTTTTCTTCACGGAGTAGTCAGCAGAATTAAGAGGTTCTGTACGAGTTATTGCGGGATTTTAAAAAATCATTAGAAAGCATACGCAAAATGTTGTGAAGAGGGGAAAATAGATGCGGATTTTTAACAAATTCCTCTAGAAACTTAAATTATTAGAGAGCGACCATATGCATTCATTTATAAATTGTCTTCAGCAGAGCCACATATTTTTAGTGGGGAGACACAGATTAAGTTGCATAAAAAATTTGAAACAAGTCAAACAACATAATAAAAGAAATCAAAAGTGCAAACAAATTAACGAGTCATTTGTGCAGTGTTAAGATTTAAGGTTTCATCTTAAAATGTCGACTTTATTAAGAGAAGTAACTCAATTCTTTATAAGTTGATTTATGTTTACATCTTTATTCGATGTGAAATTTTATCACTTAACATGCAGACGTCTGGTCATCATTCAAGAATCAAGTAAAGCATTTTCCTATAGAACAGAGTCATAAAAAGCATAAGTTTGGGGGGAAAGTATATATATATATATATAGGAAAATGCTTTACTTGATTCTTGAAGCACAAAATATAGGTTATTAAAGCATAGATTTTCCTTTTCTAACCAATTTTTCAATGAAAATTCTGAATTTAACGGCATATGATGTTCAAACAGGTGGGGCCGAGACGTGAACTCAGATTTTTTTGTGTAGTTTGAGCACTACATTTTATTCAACTCAACTTAAAATTCTTGAGGTGTTAGAGATATGATGTGTATTTATTTAAGTCTTTCAACCCCCACCATAGTTCAGTTATAGGCACATTAACTTAGATCAACCTCTCATTTCAAACCCGTTACGTGAAAAATATGAGTGAAACCTTAGTACTAAGTAATAAGCAACCCTATATGTAAACAATATTAATGAAAATAAAATATATAGCAAGGGAATATATACTTACAATACTAAACTTGTCTCCAGTATTCTGACCATGTCTATCAGACAGCACCAACTTTTCATTTTCAAGATGTTGAAATTGAATAGAATGGATTATGGTATCGTATGAAACAAAAATCTGAACAATTTCACTGTGATGCTTCTCATCCCATTCATTTCCAGAGCTTTTCCCCATTGGACCAATCTTGATCATACTTTCTTTTGCCATCTCTCTTGAACTTCAGCCTCCTATCCTATGATATATGGGGAGAAGCTATATACTGTGTAAAATATGTGATTCTATAGAAGATATATATAGGAGACGAGTCCTATCTATTTAGTCCATGTTTGGATTGGATTAAAATCAAATGAAAATTTCAAGTCAAAGGTAACAATTAGTTTTAACCACACATTTCATGGGATTCACAACTTTTCAACTACACGTTCTATCAACTTTTATCAAAATCTACTAAAAAACTGATTTTTATCTACGACAAAATGGGCTTAATAATTTTGTACGTGTGTGTGTATAAATATAATATAATCCAAAACTTTTCAATCATCGATTCCATCAAATTTTGTCAAAATCTAATAAATTTTTTTTTTTTTATCTAAATCAAACAGGGGTCATATAGGTATTGAGACTTCGGTTATAGGATAAAAAACTAGACTTCTTATTATAGAAAATAAATAGGTTATTTGATAAGGTAGCACTACATTTCTAGATATAACTAAAGTACAAAAAATATTTTTTATTCTTTTGAGATTCACTTATATTTCTAGTATTGCATACTAAATATGCCTTTAAAATGTTTTTAGTGTTCATCTTTTATTGTCACGAAAATATCTCTTACATTTTACGAGCATTTCAAACAAAATATTAATGAATGAAAACTCTCTTTAAAATTAAAAGTAGACTGTAATAGTACTTTCATTCTTTAATTTCATGTGAAGTTATGCTTGTTCGTTCTTCATATTTGAGGTAGAATAAAGGTTTAAGATCTTAAAAGTATTCAAAAGGCTGATGAGTAACCAACAAAAAACGCAAACTAAAATTCTTAACTAGCGGATGCTTTATTTCAAAGTTAAAGATAAGTTTTACTTTATATTGTCACGTAGCAAATAATTTTAAGGGTTCTGCTTGGCTTACGGAACCCCCACCGATCACTCACAAGGCATGGGGTTTGCAAATTTTTTATCCATTTTTTAATGAACTCGGTCCCACATGGGACCCACCTCATGTGTGATGTGGTAGAAGTTTTGTAAACCAATTTTCTGTACATTTGGCTTAACTCTAATTTTAAACCTAGTGAGATTGGCACCGGAAACTTTTGAGGTTGTTTCATGAATTAAGACAATGTACATGCATTTTGGGTAAAAAATTATGTGCTAAACAACAAATTGGTTTACAAAACACTTGATGTTATGAAAGTCCGGCCATAGCAACCTTTAACATAAACAATGTGCTCGAATGGAGGTTCGAGCTTCACCTAATGGCATTTTGACAATATCATTCAAAAAGAATAATACAATGAAATTTATCCTGTTTGACAACCATTAAAATGAGTTTTTTTGTTTAGAAATAATGAGTTTTGGAATAGTAATTTTTGGTGGGGAATGAGTTGTCAAAATGTAGGAAAAAGTTTTGAATTTACGCGAATAATTTTTTATTGGAAGAACGTGTGGTTGAAAATAAATTTTTGAGAAAAAAAGAGTTTTATTTTAGTGGTTGTCAAACATGGACTTTTTGCTTCATTAAATTTACATGTAGTTTTTCTTCACGGAGTAGTCAGCAGAATTAAGAGGTTTTTTTACGAGTTATTGCGGGATTTTAAAAAATCATTAGAAAGCATACGCAAAATGTTGTGAAGAGGGGAAAATAGATGCGGATTTTTAACAAATTCCTCTAGAAACTTAAATTATTAGAGAGCGACCGTATGCATTCATTTATAAATTGTCTTCAGCAGAGCCACATATTTTTAGTGGGGAGACACAGATTAAGTTGCATAAAAAATTTGAAACAAGTCAAACAACATAATAAAAGAAATCAAAAGTGCAAACAAATTAACGAGTCATTTGTGCAGTGTTAAGATTTAAGGTTTCATCTTAAAATGTCGACTTTATTAAGAGAAGTAACTCAATTCTTTATAAGTTGATTTATGTTTACATCTTTATTCGATGTGAAATTTTATCCCTTAACATGCAGACGTCTGGTCATCATTCAAGAATCAAGTAAAGCATTTTCCTATAGAACAGAGTCATAAAAAGCATAAGTTTGGGGGGAAAGTATATATATATATATATAGGAAAATGCTTTACTTGATTCTTGAAGCACAAAATATAGGTTATTAAAGCATAGATTTTCCTTTTCTAACCAATTTTTCAATGAAAATTCTGAATTTAACGGCATATGATGTTCAAACAGGTGGGGCCGAGACGTGAACTCAGATTTTTTTGTGTAGTTTGAGCACTACATTTTATTCAACTCAACTTAAAATTCTTGAGGTGTTAGAGATATGATGTGTATTTATTTAAGTCTTTCAACCCCCACCATAGTTCAGTTATAGGCACATTAACTTAGATCAACCTCTCATTTCAAACCCGTTACGTGAAAAATATGAGTGAAACCTTAGTACTAAGTAATAAGCAACCCTATATGTAAACAATATTAATGAAAATAAAATATATAGCAAGGGAATATATACTTACAATACTAAACTTGTCTCCAGTATTCTGACCATGTCTATCAGACAGCACCAACTTTTCATTTTCAAGATGTTGAAATTGAATAGAATGGATTATGGTATCGTATGAAACAAAAATCTGAACAATTTCACTGTGATGCTTCTCATCCCATTCATTTCCAGAGCTTTTCCCCATTGGACCAATCTTGATCATACTTTCTTTTGCCATCTCTCTTGAACTTCAGCCTCCTATCCTATGATATATGGGGAGAAGCTATATACTGTGTAAAATATGTGATTNTTATTAAGAGAAGTAACTCAATTTTTTATAAGTTGATTTATGTTTACATCTTTATTCGATGTGAAATTCTATCCCTTAACATGCAGACGTCTGATCATCATTCAAGAATCAAGTAAAGCATTTTCCTATAGAACAGAGTCATAAAAAGCATAAGTTTGGGGGAAAGTATATATATATATATATAGGAAAATGCCTTTAAAATATTTTTTATTCTTTTGAGATTCACTTATATTTCTAGTATTGCATACTAAATATGCCTTTAAAATGTTTTTAGTGTTCATCTTTTATTGTCACGAAAATATCTCTTACATTTTACGAGCATTTCAAACAAAATATTAATGAATGAAAACTCTCTTTAAAATTAAAAGTAGACTGTAATAGTACTTTCATTCTTTAATTTCATGTGAAGTTATGCTTGTTCGTTCTTCATATTTGAGGTAGAATAAAGGTTTAAGATCTTAAAAGTATTCAAAAGGCTGATGAGTAACCAACAAAAAACGCAAACTAAAATTCTTAACTAGCGGATGCTTTATTTCAAAGTTAAAGATAAGTTTTACTTTATTTTGTCACGTAGCAAATAATTTTAAGGGTTCTGCTTGGCTTACAGAACCCCTACCGATCACTCACAAGGCATGGGGTCTGCAAATTTTTTATCCATTTTTTAATGAACTCGGTCCCACATGGAACCCACCTCATGTGTGATGTGGTAGAAGTTCTGTAAACCAATTTTCTGTACATTTGGCTTAACTCTAATTTTAAACCTAGTGAGATTGGCACCGGAAACTTTTGAGGTTGTTTCATGAATTAAGACAATTTACATGCATTCTGGGTACACTTTCTTGGATTGTTTTTGGAAAATGTTATTAGTTGCTGCATCAATGCATGGATGGAGACTGTTCACTTCTAGAGGTTCATGCATGTACAGTTACATATTATACGCTCGCAAGCATGCACGTACATATTGGTATTTGGTAACGAAATTGATAAGTGCATATATGCACTTCTAGTCTTAATTATTTATTGTTAAATTAAGCAAGTATCTACTTAATTTTGTGTAACTTATATTAATTGTAGGAAACAAAACCCTACTTGGATGCACTTGGATGAAATTTAGCGTGAAAGATGTGAAATTGGAGCTTAATTAAAGTTGTTTCGAAGTCATTCGTGATCAAGTGGATTGTAATTTATCAATGGAAAATATTAATGGAGCACTAGGAGTAAATTTATAAGTTTCAGAAGTTAAATTCAACAATTGAAAAGTTTGAGGAGTAAATTGTAAACTTTCAAAACTTGCATCGAAGTCACTTGTTAGTAATTTTGAGATGTTGAGGACCTAATTATGAATATTAAAAGATGAAGGACTAAAAATACACAAAGAAATGACTCAAGTTGAACGAATGAAGAAATTTGAATATCAAAATGAAGATTTTCAAAGTTTTGAGACGTGCAATCGCAAGCCGTAGGCGCTGCGATCACAACGCCTCGTGAGACAGCAGCATAATGCAACAAAAGATAACGGTGCGATCCCAGCCTTGTAAAGGGTGCGATCGCAACCTCATTGAGGCAAAATCACTTTTCCTAATACCAATCAGCTACTAATTATTTTACAAATCGAGGAACGATTTCTAACCTAATTTGAGGTATATAAATATCATTATTTCATTCAAATCAAGGGGCGCGTACATTCTTAAGGCAAACAACATAGATTAACTTAAATTCTCAATATTTGTGGCTCTAAGTGGGGATTTGAAGGCTAAAATTCATCAATTTGCTGGAGATCTACAATTATCACTGAAGATGTTGAAGATTTATTGTTGGGGTTTATGTGACAAAGATGGACAATAACTTGAATTATTTTATTGTTTAATTCCTCAATTATGAGCGGCTAGATAGTTTTTGTTAGGAAGAACAATGTATCTTACGTTTAAAGTTTATTTAATTCAAACGATTCATACAACTTTAATTGCCTATATGTATTTAATGACATTCAATTGGTTGTATATCAATTGATAAATTTAGGGGCAACATTAAGATCGAGAGAAGCCATAATTGTCTACCTCACACAATAACTCTGTGTTTGGTGAAGATTAAAATCCAATTAAAATTGAAAATATAGTCGTTATTGGGTCTCACTCATCTAATAAAAGTCAACAATAACCGCTAATTTTTCAATTTTAATCCGATTTTAACATCTACAAGAATTCCTACCAAATAGGCCCTTAAATTCTCAACATTTGTGGCTCTAAGTGGGGATTTGAAGGCTAAAATTCATCAATTTGCTGGAGATCTACAATTATCACTGAAGATGTTGAAGATTTATTGTTGGGATTTATGTGACAAAGATGGACAATAACTTGAATTATTTTATTGTTTAATTCCTCAATTATGAGCGGCTAGATAGTTTTTGTTAGGAAGAACAATGTATCTTACGTTTAAAGTTTATATAATTCAAACGATTCATACAACTTTAATTGCGTATATGTATTTAATGACATTCAATTGGTTGTATATCAATTGATAAATTTAGGGGCAACATTAAGATCGAGAGAAGCCATAATTGTCTACCTCACACAATAACTCTGTGTTTGGTGAAAATTAAAATCCAATTAAAATTGAAAATATAGTCGTTATTGGATCTCACTCATCTAATAAAAGTCAACAATAACCGCTAATTTTTCAATTTTAATCCGATTTTAATATCTACCGAACACGCCCTAAGTAACATATGATTTTATAAGAAATTGAACAATACTTTTTATAGAGTTGTTATATTGATCGAATTTCTAAGAATTTATGCGTTTATATGTGTATGAATTTACATAGAGATAAAGTAAATTTTAATATGTGAGTAAAGCTAGTATTACTCGAGTGTAATCATTAGCTAAAATTTATTAATTCGATTATCGATACATATTGAAAAGGGACCGAACGATGTCTAATTAGCTGAATGTTAAATAACTTAAGTGAAATCGGATTTCTTTAACCTAAAAGTTCTCCAAAAAGTCTTACGTTTGAATTATCTATAAAATATATGATTAAAATTAATTATTGACTTTGACTTCAACTTTTTAAATTATTCTAAACAAACACTTAGCCCGTGTTTGATGGCCATTATTTTTTTTTAAAAAAATAGTATTTTGAATAGTGATTTTTTGGATAAGGAATGGTTAAAAAGCAAGAAATTTTTTTAGGTTTATTTGCAAAATATTTAATTACTTGAATGTGTCGTTGAAAATGAGTATGAGAATTAAAAAAATTGTTTTAAAAGGGTGACAAACGGGGCTTTATAAATGCAAAATATTTCCCGCCCAAATAAAACTCTTGTTTAAATCTATTTATCCTCGTAACCCGCCATCTCAAACCTCACATCAATTAGGTTTCAATTCTCCTTTTTTCCGCGATATCACGATGGACAGTGAGGCCTCAACAATGGAAATAGAGCATAGATTAGAAGAAAATGAAGAAGAGGATCCGTTTCTTAAATTCGTCGATTATGCAAAATCGATTTTATCAGAAAAAGGAAGCGAAAGGGAAGAAGAGATGATAAACGGGCCGGGATGGAGTTGGATTGCGTCTTGGATTCTTAAGACTTGCATTGCTTATTCCAGTGGCGTCACCTCTGCAATTCTCTTATCTGAGCTCTCTCAGGTCCCGATTTAAATAATTATTTTTGTCCATTTATAAATTTCTATAATGTGCATGATTATGCTTATGGATTCAAATAACTGAAATTTGAATGCTCTAATTAATTTTAAAATTATGATATGCGATCTCGAAAGAGCTATCTCAAAAAATTTATGTATGTATCTGTTAAATTTTCAGTTAATATTTTTTTACTGTTGCTATACCTGAAATATTATACTCTGTATATGCTGGTAGACAGTAGTCATAGGCCTGAATAATCACAAGTTCTGTAAATATTGTTTGAATTCCTCTAGATGATATTTTTCCACTCTATCTCTGATTATACATTTAAAATTATTGAAAATAGATAAAAAATTTCGGCAAATCAATTTTACAGTCTACAATTATGATCTCCATTGATTACTAAATTCCAGGTTAAAATATTTGGATATTCTTTTCTGATTAATATGCTTTACAATGATTTAAGCCCGACTATGTTGCCTATTAATTTTTATGCACGGACATATAGGCTTGGTACGAGCAGAATAGAAGTGGAGCTCTGAAAAAGCAGCCGGAATGCATTACTCAAATAAAGAAGAAACATAGGAGAGGGAAGCTACCAAACGCTGTTACAATTGATTCTATATATGAGAAAAAGTTCTTATCCTTGAGCAGTGTCATTGAAGGAGTTGTAATCGATGCTTTTATTCTTCCAGGTGTGACGAGAGCCTATAAATATTTGGTAGAACATGCATATTTTCTTATCTCCACTAAATTCCATTTACAATTGCATGGACTACTCATTTGTGTATTTGACATGCATTAAACGAAGAGAATTTTCATTCAAATCTTATGAATTGGTGCAACCAGTGCTTGTTTTTAGATGTTATTGGACTTGGTCAAATTGTAATATCCACTTAGCTTAATTGAGTATATTTCAGGTGATGATTGATAGAAGTCCAAGAGGGTCATTGATTAGTTTTCTAGTCGCTATCATCATGTAATAGAAAATGTGTTCAGGCGTAATAAGAAAATTTTGTAGGTTTTAGAAGAGATGGAATTTAGTCTTCTATAATGCTGTTTATTTTTGTTTTGTAGCTCTGATTAACTTCAGTTGGTGCAGTTGTGAACAGTTTCTATTCTCATGTACTTGTATAGTTTTCCTGTAGCTGATGTATGATTTTTTACAGGGACAAATATTTACATGCTTAGCTTGGGGGATATTTGGAGCTCTAATACTATAGATCTATATCTGCACAGAAGGTGAATGTCTTTAAGCTGCACTGATATAATTGGAATTATTCTTATATGAAAGTTTGACTAATATACATAGATAAAACTTGCTCTTTATTTTGGTTTAGTGTTGCAGCATGAAATAATAATGCTATACTTCTGCGCATCGAAACATTCTTCATAGCTTTCCTCAGTTGTTCTTTTGAATGCGATGCAAATAAATCACACTCTAATTTAGCACATTTCTAACATTATTGAATCTTGTTAAGAGGTCCAGCTTTGTCATTTTTTTTTATTTTTTACATCTCTTAATATTGGCCCCCCTCTAGCTATTCTCAATAATTAAATTACAACCAAAGTTCTCATGGTTTCCTGTCAACAAGATTACTCTTAGTAAGTGGGCTTACTGTGGGTAGTTGATTAAGTGTGCTTCTCATTTTGGGTACTTAATTATGTTCTGCATATGGTTTTGGAATCTCTTTGGATGGTCAGTAATGTATGGTTAGTCTGGGTATTAGGAAGATAAGGGTTGCACAACGTATACCAAATACAATGCACTGGTAAATATGAAAAAACTTGGAAAGCTATACAGTAAAAGTTAAGCAAACTAGTAGCTGAATATAGCAGCTCTGCGATATTCTGTCATTCCTTCTTTTTTTGGACAAGTACATATTATTTGTCCCCTGGTCATGAACTCGCTTGCTCTAAAATATCTAGCATCTGAAGCAGGTTTTACAATGTAGCTGACCCCAAAAATGGAATTCTGAACAAGGGCAGGGAAGTTTTCCTGACTGGATGTTATCTTCGAATGGCTGCAGGGAGTTCAAGTCGTGCACGACTTTTACCGACTGAATATTTCATTATACTGTTAGACGAGGTATGGATCAAACTCCATGTTCTTTCCTGATTCTCAAGGTTAACTTTTGTTACAAAAGTGATCCCTTTTGCTAGTTTTAGCATCACACAATACAAAGGTCAAAAATTGTAAATCCCTTCATGCAAACGAGGCACTCCTTTCTAAAGATCTCGAATTGATGGGGATAGGAAATATGATGGCTAATTCATTGCTCATGATCACGAAGCATATTCACTTGATACGAGTAAAAAAAAAAAAATATCAATTTTGAAGAAGCTCTAAATTTAATGTGTCATCTCAATCTTCACCGTACATGCTATCTCTTATGAATAGCTACTTCGAGTCTAATGGCTCTTTCTACTTGTCAGTCATTGTTGGTCCAGCGTGGAATGGTTTTCCAATTCAATTTCCAAATCTAGTTCTACTTGTATGTTTGGACGCAGGATGAAGATAATGATGCGATGCTGCTTGGGGCACAGTTTTGCTCGGATTCCTTTTCTTCCATTTCTCTTGATGCTGTGAAGGAAGGTACTTCGTATTCTTTGTATGCAAGGTACAATGTTGTCTCTTCTCTTTCATGTATTTCTATTTGAAATGAACGAGCCTAATAGGCTCTTTCTTTCTCTGTCCTTTTTGTTTGGCTCAATATGCCTTTTCATTACTGGGAAGAAGAAATATCTATGAAATTCCATTTTCTTATTCAACTGTACCATAATCAACTTTTCCATTTTATAAATATAATTTAATGGATTAATAGCAGAAAATCCTCTAGAAACGTTTCCATTTGCGATATACCTCCCTACTTATTGAAAATTGTAGAAATCCTTCCTATTTAAAGCTTTTTGTGCGAAATATCTCCTGCCATCAAGATCCATCAGATTTGCCGTTAAAAATAGCAAAAAATGCCAAAACTAAAAATAAGTTATTGTAATTTCAGTACCCAAACATTTTTTTTTTTTACAAATTGAACTCAAATTTTTTCTATGTACCATCTACAATTTCAAACCTTTAAAACTTTATTTTCTTCCCCACCCCACATCACATCACATCATCTTCTTCCCCACCTTCAACCATACCCAATTAAACTAAAATCAAAATCCAGAAAATCCAATTAAATTCAGAACTCTGGGATACTTCTCAAACAGCGATGGTAAAGGGTATAAACATACACTACTAAGCTGGATAGAAATTAAAGCAAGCTTGAGCAACACCACCTAGAGTCGCTTAGAACTTCTAAATTGGTGAACTGTTAAGTCTCGGACTGTTATTGCAAGCAAGTTTCTTCTGCGCTCCATTTTTTTATCGCTAAGTTTCCGTTTTACATTAAACATTTAGTACACGAATTGCAATATGGATTCACCATTACAAATGTTGCAAGGTTCCAAGAAAGTAAAACCCATTTTACACTCAAGGTTTAGTCAAGCTACATCTACATCTAAATTTCACACACAAAAAAAAGATCAGAATTCAGGGCACTAGGTGTAGAATATAAAGTTGTTCAATTATTGGACGCCGTTTTCAATTGCCTGTGGATTTTTGACCATCAAAACTAAAGTATTAAATTTACCATCCAGTGATCTACGAGGCAAAGGGTTCCCAGCCTAGACCAGCAAGCTTCGTACTCCAATAATAGTCTTTCAGAGGTAGGATATGAAGAGCATATTTCAGCCATGGATAGACCAACAAACACGGTGAAACATCCAGCAATAAGCCATCTATAGACCAAGGAAACTGGCCCACCAAAAGTCAATCCCGTGTTGTACGGTGTAGTCACACCGATGAGCAGTGATATTATCGAAAATGAAAAGGCAAAGTTTGAATCTGGATAGTGTGGATTTAGTGATAATTTCTTAATGATTTTGGTTTTGAGGAGTACCCCGGAGTTCTGAATTTAATCGGATTTTGAGGGTTTTGATTTTGGTTTAATTGGGTATGGTTAAAGGTGGGGAAAAAGATAAAGTTTTAAAGGTTTGAGATTGTAGGTGGTACATATAAAAAATTTGGGTACAATTTGTAAAAATTAAAAAGTTTGGGTACTGAAATTACAATTATTTCCTTTTTAATTTTGACATTTTTTATTGTTTTTAACGGCAAATTTGACGGATCTTGACGTTAGGGGGGTTTTCACACAAAAGATTTCAAACAGAGAGATGAGGTTTCTGCGATTTCCAATAGGTAGGAGATATATCGCAAATGAAAACGTTTCTATGAGGTTTTCTGCTAATAATCCATAATTTAATTATAGAAGGTCACAGATTCAACTTCTTTATAAGGGTATACTGTATGCATGCTATCTTAGAACCATCCAACTCTGCATTTTAGCATTATTGTGATCTATTCTCAGTGACTCATGCTCTTTTTTTCCCAATTTTGGACAGGATTGAACATATTGGACCTCTGGAAATTCAAGGAAAGTATGGTAGTTTGCAGAGAAAGCAAATAACTCTTGTTGATAACGATGGTACCAGGTTAAAATTTGTACTCTGGGGAGAGCAGACTCTGCTTGCCAATCTTTTTAGGTAGGCTAGTTTACACGGTTAGTGCTTTATCACTTTTTTTAAGTCACACATTGATGGATTGAAATTGTTTTTCTTCAGTGTGGGAAGCATGCTTGCCCTGGATAGACCATATATAGCAAGTCCTGTTGATAGTTATCTAGAAACGTGCAACGAAATTTGCCTTGAATATGGTAGCGCGACCCAGTTATATCTGGTGCCTCGTATTCTGCACGAGGAACAGGTGAGTGATAAATCATTGATTGTCTTCCTGTTTATAGATTAATTTTTTTAGCGCATTAACAGAGCAAGTTAGCTCTTTGGTTTCTCAGGTATGTGTAGCTTTGACTCAGAACCATTGCCAAGGATCAAGGCTGTTAAGTGATCAAAGTCAGGGACCTATAGTTTCCCAAGTAACCTTGCCTTGCGACTATCAAGGCTCGATCGACTTCAGTAATTATCCCTTTCGAGTAAGTATGCTCAATCTACGGAATTTTATAATTAGTTCTTCATTCTTTCTATCACTAAGAGGAATATAATATAAAACATCTGTAGATTCGGTTGTATTTGTAAGAAAATATCATGCACACAATTCAGTTAGCCCTGTGCCTTTAGCCTGACAAATGAAAGTTTGATAACTTTGTTCTCATTAGCATTCCATCAAACTTTTAAAATCACGAGCACATGATGTAATCTTTAGCAGCATGCTTCTTTATGTAATAGTTCCATCTGGTCATCACTTTGAAAATTTTCAATTCTAACTGGTTAATGTAATTTATTTTAGATTTGCAGCTCGGTCAATTTGCTCTTTTACCTCTTAGGTAAAAATTATGAAAGAGACAATTTTGTGGTTATAAATATATTTTGAGTAGAAATTTAATCTGTGTTCAAAGTCTATTCAGGCATACGGTTATAGTTAAGCCATACTCGTTACGAAATCTCTTTGCATGTAGACAAATATAGACAATAATTGCAATTGCAATTGTATTTTAGTTCTAAGATTTTTTCTTAACCTCTTACATTTTTGAAGTGTTCCAGTCATTTGTAGTCGATCTGCGTGACAAGATGACTAGCATCAGCCTCTATGGTATTGTTACAGACATCAAATGTACTTCAAAGGCCTCAGTTAGTCTGCAGATTGAGGATACAACTGGAGCAATCTGGGCAAAGCTACATTTTGTTAATTCTTGGTAAATTTTTTTTAATATTCCTCAGTAGATATATACATTCATTTCTATAACAAGCCAAGTGCAATGTCCTGATTCGTTTATTTCTCAAATTTATACTTTTCAGGTCAGTGGGAAGATTAGGAATGGGCCACACAGTTTTTGTACGTGGTTTAAAATCTTCTGTGACACCAAAAAAGGGGTAAGTCATAAAAATCAATGTTATTGAGTAATGAAAGAAATTAACATTCTCTGAATTTTAATTCTTGTTTTCTGGTGCTTCATTTGCGTTTTTATTTTTTTTTCCTCTTTATCCATAAATTGGAGTACATATGATTTGATTATTTCCTTGACAGCCTCGAATTATCATGGTTTGAGAATGAAAGTGGAGCTTCATTCGTCAATATAAGTTGCTTGCCAGCATTGCTAAATTCATCTTGTCTCCACAAATTATCCCATCTTTCTATTCTCTCCGTCCAGAAGAGTGGTACTCATGTATGTAATCTTGAATTTGTATTTTGCAATTGTCAATTGCGCACAAGCTCATCTACTTATCTTTTTACTCTGTTTACCATTTAGTATTCCTCCCTGTTCCCTCATGAAGTTGTGTAGGGAGATTTTCTTATGTGTTCTTGGTTGAGAAATGTTTTACGTAGACTAAAAGATTTTCGTTCACAAGAGCAATAATGTTTCAATAGAACAAATCAGAAGAGAGACGGGTAAACCAAATCTAATATGGTATATTCTAGTCGTTAAAGATTTAGTTGCCTTAAAGATAGTCTGTACCTGCATTATTTGTCCCTTTGGGACTTCCAGCATGGTTTTCTAATATGGTGTCTCCTCTTTGAATTCAGGTATGTCGAGTATGGTTGGATCAAATTGAACATTGCCATGTTAATACAAGATTTTCGCATATCCTCTGCGGTCATTTTGTTGACAAGACTCTTGATGGCGATTTTAAGTGCAAATTTTGTCACAGCATTTGCAATGCTGAAGTTGTTCGTACCTTCCATGTAAAGATAACACTTGCAGATGAGACTGGAAAAGTTTTTGCTTGGTGTACCGGTCAGACTGCTGCCGAGTTGCTGCAAATATCCACAGATGAGTTTTATGAACTGCCTGAGGTAATGTAAAAAAAAATAATAATAATAAAAAAATTAAATAACCTCCTTTGTGAAAGCATGTTGTCTTAGTTTAAAATTAACTTTTATTTTTTTGGACGTTATCGAGTTACTTTTGATCAAGAAAATTATTACTTAAACATTGTTTACTCATGCTGAAGGTATCTTAGAGCTAAATTTTTTTACTGCTGAGTGCCGATAATCAACTTTCTAACATATAAAGGCGAATTAGAAAAAATAGTAACAAGCACACAGCGAGTGAGAAACGGTGAACGAAGTAATTGATTGTACAACGACAAACTTGGCTTTATGAAATTTTGCATTTTGGAGATTTATCTGGGAATTAATTGTGCCAATATTTACACTTGGATTTTTTGTTTTCAGGAGGAACAAATTATGTATCCATCTTCGCTTGAGCTTGAAAAGTTTATAGTGGCAATAGTGAACTGTGGAAGGCAGGATGATATGGTTAACTGGGAAGTCACTCGTGCAATGAAGTGTGAATAAGGTTGCTGTTGGATAAATGACTTTGGGTTTTGGTTAGTCTTTCTTTTGACGCTCCACTTTATGCTTCGTATGTTTGGCAAAGTTAATTGGACGATGCCAAATATAATTAAACTATATTAAATAGAAAAAAGGTTAAAATTTTTGTTTAAATGTGCCAAACAGGCGAGAGTCAACTCTATAATTAATGTCTCACTTCATTTTAGTTATACCATGTCATGATTTTGGTATATTCTATTTTGAATTTGTTTTCGGATTTCATCGTTGTTGCAAATATGAGCATTTTTTATTTGTTTATCCAAGCCATGCTTCAACAATTTAAATCTATGTTTCTTTAGTTCCTAAATTGATCCATGGCTTCTCGTATCACATACGCCAATTTATGACTGGCTTAAGGAAGTGAAAAAATTTAGAGATATTATATAGATATTTCTTATATCGTTTAAAAATATTACTAACTGTCACAACCCCTTGGGTAGAACTCACTTTCAAAAGTTAGCTATTAAGGGGAGGGTGCTCAAAGGGTTATAAAGCCCACATCTTCAGCCTAAACTTTCGATGTGGGATCAGGTGCCCATACACCCCAATGGAAATCATGACACTAACCTTTCTTATTTCTAATTTTGTTACATTGGTGGCCACGTTTGAAAGAATTAGGCTATGTTTGATTATCATTCTTTTCCATGGAACTAAGAATCGATTTTTCATTTCCTACCTTTTGACTTGTTTGATGCACAATATTTTCTTGGCAAAACCTTTTCCCACATTTGCCCACATGTGCACATTTGCTTGGTTTTTATGGAATTGCTTTTCCCACCAATTGTTTCTTGTTGACACGAATACATCATCATGTAGATATAGGCCCTATCATACTGTTGCAAAAAATAAATTGAGCGAATTTAAGTACGCCAAACTGATGCTAAGTATGATTGTCAATGTCAAAATTGTCATTGAGAATAACTTCATACCATTTGTGCACTAATTTGGTTCGTTAATACGTAATAAAAACGCATATTATCAAAATTAGTAAACTTTACCACTCATTTCATTAAGCTTATGTTTGGTCTTCATTATTTAAAATTTTGATTTTTTAAAAAACTTATTTTTAATTATACATTTTTCAATAAAATATTTTACACATAAATTTTTGTTTCTTAAAATATAGAAACAAAATAAAGAGATTCAGATGGATCAAGAAATTTGAGGGATTCTGTCCTTGCCCTGTTGACCATTTGGGACAGAGCAATGCGAGACGGGTTGGAGATTTTTTAATCCTACTGGTAAATTGAAAGAACGAAGACATATAAAATGGATGATAAATTTTACTAATTAAATGTATGACTGTATGAAGGGCAATTTAAGTATTTACAATTTATACTTAACCACTAAATAGTCCTAAAGGTGAATACAATACTTAGATATAGGGAAAGTTAGTACTAATTTTAAAATGTGAACACGTGTCTTTGATATTGCCGAAAAGGTGAAGGGATCTCTAATATTTTCTCAAAAACACATGAATTTTCCTAAAATGCCCTCTTCACTAGTTCAAAGTAATCCTGAATTTTTAGAATTCACCTGATACAATTGTGGGTCAATCACGAAGATTGACAATTAGGGAAACAAATCATGATGCATTTTACACCGGAGGCGTTTGTCCAAAAGAATTATCATCTACACCCAGTTTACTGAAGGACGAATCTTTCTACCTTCTATGGATAAGGAAATAGTCATTTATAGGTTAGCATTATTAGGATTCAATATTATCCCAAAACCATCAGAATTCCACATCAGAAAAAGGTTTTTCAGAACTAAGGTAACGTTTTCATTTTGTTTCAGAATGTGATCGTGAACTTGGACCTATTTGAAAAAGGTTTGAGGAAATTACACTCTATAGAATCTGATAAATCATGGGGAAAGAGAAACTATGACGTATATTGGAGCTGGATACCAGTTTCAGTCGGTTCTCTTGTTGCCTTTAGACGCGTTTTGGTCTGACAGCATTTTGAGAACATCTACCAATGAACGCAGACGGTCCCACACGTTCAAGCCATATAAAGCTTCTACAAGCGACTCCTGAAACTTGAACCCATTCTCTGAAATAGGATACTGCATTTGCCCGAGAGAGAATGATGGATGTCAATTTTGAACATAAGTATAACTAATTCAAAAAGTGAGCTTAAATTAACCTGGATAGGCTTAGGTATCTTGGTTTTGATGAAAGGCCACCATCGATCCTCCACTACAGATTTAACAAGACAGCAAGCTCGCAACCCTTCTACACCAGCAAATCTTCCAAATCCACTCTCCTTTACACCTCCAAACGGAAGGGACTGAAAGATATGAGTAGTTAGAATGCTATGAAACATAAGAAAGTTTACGGGTTTGCATAAGAAACTTGCGCAAATAGTCATCCAGTATTTAAAGCGGAAGAATAAGAAAATATGAGGACATATAGAACATACTTGGATAACTTACCCCTTTTTTTTCTCTCTTATCTTTTTTTTAATAAAACAAAGCTACTTATTTGAAAGTAACACTAGCCTTACTGTCAATACCAGCAATTTATTTTTAATAAAAAATTATTTATTTTAAGCTTAGCCAAACAAAGAAACCAAGCCTCATTCCGTACCAAGAACCTAAGATTACCTGACACATATAAGTCGATGCAAAATCATTGACTGCAGCAACTCCAGAGTGTATCTGGGAAGCTATCTGTTTGGCACGACGCTGGCTGCCAGAAAACACAGCACATCCAAGACCATACTTGGAATCATTTGCAAGTTCAACAACTTCTTCATCGGAACTAAATTTCATTATAGGCATAATTGGTCCAAATGCCTGTCTCAATTACAAAATACGACAAAAGAATAAACTTTCATTTCCAGGAGATCAAACACAAGATGTTTAGAAAGTACAAGTGTATACCTCTTCCTGCATCAGTTTCATAGTATGGTTCATATTTATAATCACAGTAGGAGGGAAGTATTGATCCACAGCACCTTCACCAATATTTCCAACACTTCCTCGACCAGCAATTTCAGCTCCTTTGTCAAGGGCATCATTTACCAGACTCTGAAGCTTTTCAGAATGCTCCTGCATGCAGATGGCTCCCATATCATATTTTCCAAGTAGTGGAGGACCCTGGACAAGATAATCTATTAGAAGAATATCTATTCAAGAAAACATAGTGAGTTATTTTATTTACAAACTTTGAGGTCGTAACTTAACATTCCAGAATGTGTACTTCAGTTTCTATGTAAAACATAATACTAATGTTAAACGACATAAACAAAGGGAACACTCTTTGCCCCATATGAGGTGTATCTAAGCGTTCTGAGCTTTTCCGATTCCAGCATTGGAGATAAACATTTGAACAATACATCAATTTAGAAGTCAAATATGTTAAATTCAAAATTCATGCAAACCATCAAAACAATACAGCTACACACATAAGAAAAATTTCAAAAAACAAAATGAAAAATTTATTGCAGGAAATGCTAGAGTTATGACAATCTCATACTCACGGCAGTTACAGATTTCACAATTTTGACAACTTCAGCAACAAATGCTGAATGAATGTCTTTATGAACATAAAATCTCTCAGCTCCAGCACAATTTTGTCCACTTGATTGAAGAGCCCCCCTGACAGCAATTTGTGCAACCTGTATAAGTTTAATGATTTATTAATGAGGCTTGCACATGACAGGCACTGGTTCAAAGATGTCAAATAACTATTATGGTCATGCAAAGACTGTCATCTAAACCAAATAGACGACAGTGCTGAAAGGAGAGTTTCATACATGTGGTACATTCACATCTTCGCAGACAATAAATGCATCTTTTCCACCAAGCTCAAGCGTGACAGGTATTAATGTATCTGCAGCATTCCTCATTATCTGCAGCATCATAGAAAAGTAAAAATCTTTGGAGCTTCATGGCTAGTATATAAATCACTGATATAAATCACTTCCATTTAGGTTCTTAGACTGCTTATTAGTAATTCCCTAGCCCAAGAGAGAATCTAACCATTCTACCCACACCAGGTGATCCAACAAATATGATTTTGTCTACTGATGACACTAGCGCTTCTCCCGTTTCAGCAAACCTGGCAAGAAATTTCAATATGTAAGATCAATCAATACAAGTTCATGTACAGAAATTAATGAATGGATCCATACCCAGTTATTACTTCGACTAAATTTTCAGGAGCTCCTATAGCAGCGAGGGCAGCTTGGATTATACGCAGATAAAAACATCCTGACCAACTTGCATGTTCTGAAACCTGCAGCAGAAACCATACAAGATCTTTCGTCACAAAGATACTTCAGCTGTCAATCAACATCCATTAAATATTGCTTCCATTTGCTCATTTGAAATTTGTTATATATATTAATTCATATGAATGTTGTGTTCAATGGAAAGGGACTACACAATGCGAAATCAACTAATGCAGGTAATTAACCTTGGAAAGCATTGAATGTACCTATTCATACCATTTAGAAAGCAGGATGGCAAGTGGATTCCAGATAACTAAAAAAGAGTTTCTGAAAGCAAAGTATCTTCACAGGGAAGAAAAAAGTGGGAAGATGAAGAAAGAAAGCAGAAAAAATGAGAGGAAACAACTATGCACGATTTGAGATTCAACATCCCAACCTGAAATGTCGTAATACCCCAAGCAGAAGATAACGGTCAATTACCAAAGCGAAAACTCTTTGCCTATGACTTCCAAAAGGTGAATTCCCTGCATACGGCGGCCTCTTAGTTTACTTGAACTATGAACCGTGTTATCCATCCATTGCTTAGTTCCAGATTCCTACAAGATTTCCTTTTTCATTTTTTTTTTTGGGAGCCAGGTGAGGAGAGGGCGGTACCTATTCCCGTACCCTAAACCTTGTCTGTGGGAAACACAATCCCTTACCAACCAAGACAAAGGAGAATTGGTAGATTCCTAGAAGAGTTCAAACATGAAATGGTTGTTTGGAAAGAAAAATTGGCAATCTCAGACAGATAGAATACCTTAATCACAATGCTGTTTCCTGAGAAGACTGCTGCCAACATTGGATTGAATATGTTGTGAAATGGATAGTTCCATGAAACAATAGCTCCAATAACACCAAGGGGATGGAATTCCACTTTGGCTGTCTTGTGAATCATCGATCTTCCACAGGATCTATGACCATAAGGTGATGGCTATGAATTTTCATTGGGTTTCTAGGCAAACATTCTCTCGGAAAATGCAATCCAGACAAATATGAAATTCTTTCAGAAGTAAATAAGAATGCTAGGCGACTAGCAATTTATGGCTATATCTAGCCAACAATTAGAGACTAGAGAAAATAGAAGTGATATTATAGAAGAACTATATGCCAATGCAGCAGCTTCTGTTACAGCTGAAAGGAAAGAAGATTCACCATTTGATTTCCAGAGGCCTAAATAAAGAGAAATGCAAGCAGCTTATCAAAATTTTAGAAATACTAAAAAGGGATCTGGGATCATGTCATGTAGCAGTACTAGCTGAAAGGGGATATAAAACCAAGAGAAGAGAATCTTGCACCAAATGTGTCAAATCAACCAAAGAAACAATCACAGGATTGTTCAGTACCTACTAAATATCATAAGTTTGCTCGGTAGAAAAAGGTAAAAAAATAGCTCATAAATGCCTTAATTGAGTTTACATAACTTAATCAAAGGTGAGGGTGTATTGATAAAGTTTTATCTCAGGAGAATGAGTATGTGATTTGGCAATTACCTGTACTCAGTCTTTAGCCACTTTTCTCCCTCGGACAGAAGCCAAGTGATCTTCTCACATGTTGTCATAATTTCCCCCAAAGAAGCGTCTACCATGGTTTTTCCAGTATCACGTGAAGAAATTCTAAATGAAGTGTCACATGAGTCAGCACTAAACTAAACCTCATATGGTAATTATCTCCACATATGAAATATTGAAACCTTTACAAACATGAAAGAAAAGCTGTAAAAAGGAAGTGAAAAAAATACTGTAAATTTTGAGATATTTTCTATCCCTATCAGCATACAGGCATCAATAGTAATGATTGAGACAAACAAAATCTCCTTACATCACTTGAAAACAAATGATAACTTTGGACTGTGAATTACACAAATTAAAGAAGATACATGAAACTTTCGTACCCTGTTGAAATAGTTACTTTGAATATCCCATAGGATTCTTAGTTGTACACATTGCTGATTAGACTAAAACTACACAAAAAACAAGAACCCTAAAACTTATGAGTGCTAGGCATCATGAATTTTAATCATATGCATTCCTTAGCATGAACAGTATCAGTGAGTTCTCTCATATTGAATAAATGAAGTCATCTTACGAGAAAATGATCCCGTGTTTACATCGCATGCTCCACTCGAGAGTGGGATCTTATAATTCATTGAACATGCTGAATATTTTTCAGACAACACTTTATTCCTTCTCTCTCTAGAAATAAGAGTTCGTTGAAAGATGTCAAATACCCCGTCATATTCAAATTATCAAACAAAACAGAACAAATGGCCTTTAATTTATTCTTCAGACATTATTTATTTTCATCTATATCTATGTGCAATTAGGTGTCCTTACTCGCATATAAGATCCTGATGTTCAATGATATACTTTAGAAGTATCCGCAGAAACTGACGCCTTTGCTTGAAGCTACTTTGTGCCCATATCTTTTGAGCTTTCCTTGCCTGTGCCACACGCTCCTTAACCTAAGCAATTTGTTTAGATGTCAGTTTTAGTCAGTAATAGCATAAACTTTCTAGTACGCTTTTGAGCAGGTGCCTATCTCTTTCTAACTTTAATAGGGCTGTATACAAATGGGACTTAGTAACTCCAAGATTACACATTTAAAATAGAAAGCTTAACAAAAGTACTTGAGCTGAATTTTGAAAAATTGAATGCAGATTCTAGATGACGAACTGCTTCACGTTACTCAAATTCTAATTTTAATCTATCCAATTCCACAAGAAATTTAGGAGTAATTTGTCAATAAACTAAAGAAGAACTTCTGTCCTTATGTGCTATTAATGAAGATGATACACCGAAAGTCTAATTAACTCTACATCCTGAAAACAAGGTACCTTCTTACCTAGAATTGAATAATTGCACGTACATAGAATGTAATAGTTGAAGGGAGGAGAGAAAAAATATAGAGAAGGGGCCAATATATGAAAATCCAGCAATATCAAACCTCATCAGGTTTCAGTGCAGGGAAGTAGCCCAGGTACTTCATTGTTGCAGGCTCATAACACGGGACTTTATCTGTTTGTCTTCTTGAAGGTATCTGCATGGAAATCCAGTTTCACTTAGAGAATTCAGATACTAATTTATACCATCTACCACAGAAGTACTCTAAATCTAACACTGGAAAACATTTCCTTACATAACATACAGACACAACACAAGTGCCAAATTATGACAATTTCAAAAGATGTAAATCTGTAGCAACCATATGTCATGAGCACTTGAGCAGATCAGCAGAGCATTGAGGAAATGAAAATGTACTCGACGAATTCAGTAGGTGAATAAACTGTTCTCCAGTTTTCATTTTGAGCCCTCATTGTCATGTAAGAGACAAAAAGTAAAAATAGAAACTCATAGTCACAATAGCTTATTGTTTGCTGTATAAACAGCCCACACCAGATAGTTTATACAGTTTTTAATAAAATCAGATTTAAGTATTGAGCAGCTCCACTCTCCTACAACGGAAAAAGAATAATGTATATACAATGCACAAGCATACAACAAGTGTTTTCTTTTCCTTTTTGTTCTATCAAGAAAGGAAGTTCATGTTTAGCTAAGCTTAAACTTCTAAGTAAATTACTTAAAAATAATTTTTTCTTTTGAGTATGTATGACTTGGTTGAAGTAGAAAATAAGTTATTTAAATTAACAGTAACACAGATCTTACTGTTAAAATAATTTTGCTATTATACTTAAAATTAAGAAAAGGTTTTACTTATAAGCACAACCAAACACGTGACACAAAATTTGCTTAAAATTAAGTTTAGAATACATTTAAGCTTAACCAAACATGCTCGAATTCCCATGCATCACTAGTGAAATCAAAACTTTCTTTTAACTTTTTGGTTTTAGATAAGTCTGACAATATCAAAGCTAATGTTAGAGTTTGTTTAATGCCTTAATATTCATTCCACAACATAAAAATACAAAAAGGAAATAAGTAGTTCAAATAAAATTCATCTAACAGAAGCTAAAATTCACGTTATTGAAAGAAAATTACTGATTTTTAATAGGAAAATAAACAGCATTTCAAAAACTTACATAGATGAAGCTGTTTTCCATTGTTTGATTCCCATCATCCAACACTGTTATCGTCCAAATCACAGCAAACTCAATCACAAATGCACATAAATTATATTTATGGTTAGTTACACACTCACTTTTCTACCCATACTAATATTAATGATTTTTTTTTAAGTATAAAAACTAGTGATTTAAAAGGCTACAGAAATACAAATTTTGTAACCATCCACGCTTTTTCAGCTTGAGCGCATCTCCTTACTACAACCTTCCTTTTAGACTGCTGATGCCTACTCCGTTTCAACTATTTAATTCTTTCTAGTTCGAAACCATCCAATTCACATGAAACGCAATAAAAAATGCACAAAAAATATGTTCATAGTTAGTAACGCACTCAATTTTATACACATACAGATTCTAATAATTTATTCTAATGATTTAAAACATTACAGAAATATAAATTTAGTTCATCACTTGTTTCTGTCCTTTCCTAAACCTTTAGGTGCATTTTATTCGCAGTAGAGAGCAAACCGTCTTTGCGTGTATTCCTAGCATTCATATAGATACATTTTCCAATATTATACAAGCAAAATCCATACAAAATTGAATAAATCAAAAACAACAACACACGCACACAAAAAGAGATTAGAGTAGAACCATCAGAGGCATCAACGTCAATAGACGGCACGTTGGAAGGGATGAGCATAAGGAGGAATCTACAGATCGCATATGCAAACGCGAGCACCAGTAAAGGCCACCAAAACGCCATTCTATCTCAATCGATTAGATTCGCGAACTTCAGAATCAAACCCTAGAGGATGATACAAAAATTTCTAATACAAGTTAATCAAATCGAATCGAGGCGCATTCTACGAGCTAAGAAATATTCTCAGCTTCATTTTCTGCTTCATAGCTCAATGCTCAGTTTTCCACTACTCTAGGACTCTAAACTCCTCCTATTAGTTCTATCGATCACCCTATATTATTTTGTTTTACATAATTTTTTATTTCGTGCCACGTGTCGTCATATTATTGAACCAATTTTTTAAAACAACACACTTTTTCCTTCGATACCTTTTAAATTTGTACACAATTTACACTAAAGATATCATCCATAAAACGTACACTTAACATAATTCTAGTTGTATATATAATTTCAGGGGTTTTTGTTATAGAAAAAATAAATAGAAAATAAAAATAGAAGGCCAACAATAAAGTTAATTTTAGAATAATCTATTAAAGCTAATTGAAAATTCATTAAATATTTTATGTTGCTATCTCTAATTTTATTTTTAATACTATTGATTGGAAATCAAAGTAATATTATCATAACATAAAATATGCAAAAAAAAAAGGGCATCAAAAGCTTATAGTGTAGATTTCTTTTTAGTTTATTTTTGTAATAAATTTTTAGATCAATTTCAATTTATTTGTTGTGTTTAATGAGAAATCAAAATTCACAAAAGTATGATTAAGATAAATTCACCACACAAAATGTCAAAAAATAAATTTAATAAGAGCAAAATTAAGAACTTATGCTAAAAGAGGAGGTTTCAAATTTTATTTTATTTTATTTTTTTAATGGAGGGATTGTCATAAACCTCCTCCCTCGAGGTTTATGTAAATTGCTCAACAATTTATTATACTTTCAAAATATATTTTCAATAAATACACTACAACAAATTTACAATTATACTTCTAATACAATAAAAATGAAAAAAAAAAAAAAAAAAAGTAATGTGCATACTCAACATTCCTTATACTACTCATTTTTCTCATGTTTTTTCACCCATTCTGGATTTTTTCGAAGCCGTAAAATTGCTAGGATTGTTGGGCTATTTCAAGAAATTGTGTTTTTACCTTGCAGGTACTCCAGAATCCAAACCCGAATCCTATTTTTACCTATCATTTTCTCCATTGTGAAGGAGAGATTTGTTGAATGGTGATGGCCACTATTTATGAATATTGGAGTCTAATATTTAGGTTTCACAATTTCTCAAAGTTGGCTCACAAATTTTCAAGTTTTGCAGAAAATTCTTAATGCAAAGAATGTCATGCATTGTTTTTTTTTTCCTTCTTTAATTCAAACGCAATTGAGGAATGGAAATTAAATGCACCAAATGATACGCCCACAATTGAAGCCAAACTGTCAAAAAGGAGAAAATTATGTTTCCTGACATCCTCTATAAATAGAATGTGTAAATTGAAATACACAACACGAGATAGAGAGCAAAGCATGAGTAAGAAGCAGTTAGGCTTCAATTTGTGCAGAGAATTAACAAGAGAAAATTGAGAGATTGTCTCTGTATAGGCAAATAAAATACAGAGAGTATTTGTTTTGTATTCCTCTTCTTTCGTTGATATGGTGAAAAATTGGTATGGGTTCGTGGACGTATGCATGATTGCCGAACACGTAAGTTCTTGTGTCGTACATGCACTTATTTTTGCAATTTTATTTATTCTCAGTTTAAATTATTTTGAGTCCCACTGATCGTGATAGAACTAGTAGTGTCTAATTCGTAACAGAATATAATCTCATAAATTTGGTGTCCTCAATCTAAATTTGTATTAATCTATAAGCAATTAAAACATTTTCTGCAACTTGCTGCATCAGAAAGCCTGCAGCCATTGGCTCATAGACTTGCTATGGATTGACATAACAATTTATGTTGCAATATATTGGTCAAGATATGCTCATTGGGAAGACGAGGTTTAGAGTTACTTGACAAGAAGTTGAGCACGGTGATCTCAAATTGTTTCTGTTTCTACATTGTTCGTATCCTTGGCATGAGGATCTGAAGATAAATGTAATCAAAACACACCTGAACCATCGAAATTCGAAATATTTCTTCTTTCGTGGGTCAAGCTCCTCGTACCCAAACTCCCTGCTTCTAGCAATTTTGTTTCACATAGAATGACCTTCGGAAGAAAGGTAATGCAAGTTTGTTAGGTTTATATATTGCATTGGCGATTCTGTAAACAAAAAGACCAACTTGAACGATTATAAAAGTTTAGAGACTAAATTGTAAAGTTTCATAGTTGGTAGATTAGTTTAGAGTTTGGGGTTTCATGTTTGGAACAAGAAGGATTCACGTCGATTTTTCGCTAACCGCTCGTCGGAGTCATGCTCGAGTGGATGAAGTAGGAGCTTGACGTTCGCCCCACTGTCGCTCGAGCGAAGGGACAAACCCTTCGCTCGAGCGAAACATCCTCATCGATCGAGCGATGTATTATTCGGCCAGACCTAATTTGGATTTTCGAGACTTTTACTTGGCACATTCTACCTAAACTGTTCAACCTATAAATAGAGGCTATGCATATTCTACGAACAAGAGATTGAACATATTATTTTCTAGAGAGAATTCATCATAAGGAGATTGAACACACTATTTTCCAGAGTGAATTCATCCTAAACAAGAGCAAAAGTTCAATCCTTCAATCATATATGCGCTCATTATATTGAAAATATCAAATCCATCAAATCAAACACCGGATTGTATTCTTTGCTTGGGTCTGTCAGAAAGATTGTGTCGTCAACTTTGCTGCATTGAAGATCAAGGAAGAATTTGAAGAACAAGGAGTTCTTGGGAAGATCTACAGGAGATAAACTGCTTAAAGAGTCGGGATTGGAGTTCGTGTGCTCATTCCAGGAGGACTGCTTTATAAAGAAGAGTCAGGATTGGTGTTAGTGTGCACATTCCAGGAGAGATGCTTCAAACTTCAGATAGGAGTTCAGAAAGCTTGTGTCGTCAACTTTGCTGGTAGTCTATAAGTTTATCAAAAGTTTATAGTGGATCTTTGATTGGCAAAGTGCCCTGAGTTTTTCCCTCATTTGGTTTCTCTGTGAATAATTTTGGTGTTGTTTACTGCTTTTCTTAATGTTTTGATATTACTGCGGTATTCAAAGATAGGATTAATTGAATTGTTTGACTAATCACCTAGACATAATTAACTCGTGAATTGTTGCTTGTTAATTAAAGTTTTAATTCCGCATTTACACCTAATCACCCCCTCTAGGTGTAGTTGGGTTGAATCTTACATTTTTCAATTGGTATCCTAGCTTAATTTCGATTCCTGACTCTTATTTGATTTAATCTAGACGAGTAGTTCTTTGTCTGTCCCGCCATATTTTGATGGTAGTAATTATGACTACTAGAAAGTTCGAATGAGAGCTTTTCTTAAGACGTTGGATGAACGTATATGGATTTGTGTGTAAAATTGGCGGACTCCGCCTACAACAACGGTTGCAGGTGTAGTTACACCCACTGATATTTCTTTGTGGACCAAAACAAACTTAGATGAATGTAATTGGAATGGTAAATGTTTGCATGATTTGTTTATGGCTGTATCTCCTGAGGAATTTAGGAAAGTGTCTATGTGTGAGACATCTAAGGAAGTTTGAAACATTTTGGAGACAATTCATGAGGGTACTAAAATTGTGAAAAACTCCAAATTATAAATGTTGACGTCTAGATTTGAAGAACTTAGGATGAATGATGATGAGAGATTTGATGAGTTATATGCTAAGTTGAACGATATTGCGAACTCTAGTTTTAATCTAGGCGAAAATCGTTCGTAAGGTTCTTAGATCTCTACCTGAAAGGTTTAGACCTAAGGTAACTACAATTGAAGAAAGTAAGGATCTAGACAGCGTTAAGATAGAAGAACTCGTAGGATCCCTCCAAACTTATGAATTGTCCCTAATAAACTCTCAAGAGGTAGACGTGAGAAGAACACCTCGAGGACTCCCGTTAAGAAATCTCAATCTTTCCAATGCCATAAGTGCAAGGGATTTGGTCACTTTAGGAATGAATGTCGTAATCTGATTATGAGCTCAAATAAAGAAAGGCTTAAGACTTTAGCCATGACCATGAGTGATGATGAGTCGAATTTCGGTTCTCGGAATGAGACATCTGGAGGTGAGGATGAACAAAAATTCACAGCCTTCACTTCGATTGCTGCAATCGAATCTGACCGTGAGATTGAGAAGGATGAAAGGGAGAATGAGAGTGTGCAGTTTGATGATGAGACAGACATTTACGAGTCCTATCGTCAATTGTTTGAGGAAAGTCTCAAAATTAAGAAGGTCAACAAAGCCGTTCTGAAAAAGGTGAACGATCTCGAGCTTAAACGTGAAAAACTTTTAAGTGACCTTCAGGACTCGACCAAGAGAACGTAAGTTCTTGTGTCGTACATGCATTTATTTTTACAATTTTATTTATTCTCAGTTTAAATTATTTTGAGTCCCACTGATCGTGATAGAACTAGTAGTGTCTAATTCGTAACAGAATATAATCTCATAAATTTGGTGTCCTCAATCTAAATTTATATTAATCTATAAGCAATTAAAACATTTTCTGCAATTTGCGAACTCTAGTTTTAATCTAGGCGAAAATCGTTCGTAAGGTTCTTAGATCTCTACCTGAAAGGTTTAGACCTAAGGTAACTACAATTGAAGAAAGTAAGGACCTAGACAGCGTTAAGGTAGAAGAACTCGTAGGATCCCTCCAAACTTATGAATTGACCTTAGCACAGCCTAAGAAACAGAAATCCATCGCCATGAAAACTGTCAGAGAAGTTGAGAGTGAGTCCACTGACACCGAGACACTTAGGGATGACTAAATTGCTTATTTTGTTAAAAATTCCAGAAGGTGATGAGGAATAGGAGAAAGCCTCAAGTGCTGAATAGTGAAGTCCCTAATAAACTCTCGAGAGGTAGACGTGAGAAGAACACCTCTAGGACTCCCGTTAAGAAATCTCAATCTTTCC